CAGCATCTCCTTTTGTATCTGAATCCTATACTTGAAATTGCTTAGAGGAAAAAAAGTTTGTAATACATTCAGCACATAGACATGCAATGGTTTTCTTAAATTAACGCGCATATATGAGTTTACCAAAGTATATTTTTGAGATGAAAATGGTATTGGGTTATATCATAAACAAAATGTATTTGTTTGGGCAAACGTTATGAGTGATATGACATAGCAAATGAAACCATATGATAACTATTTGAGTAAAGCACACTGCTGCTGCTGCTAAAATAAACATTACTTACTTTAACACTACAAGACTAACAGTTCCTATACATATTGACATCCGGCTGTTGTTTGCGTTTGTAAACTCTCATTATACTCACGAAGTACACATTGCCAAACTGCTTCCTCTATATTTTGGGTATGAGATTCTAATGACATCTTCACCTCATATATGCCTTTACTTCTTTCATAATATTTTCATCTTTGACTTTTGATGTGAACTAATATTGAGCATATACATGTGCATATGGTATAAACGGCTATACCCTTCAGTTAAGGTTAGAATAATAACTTTAGGACACGTTACCATAACGATAACACGTGTCTTGGTCCCCTCTGGTCCCTGAAGTCGGATGTCAACAAAAAGACGTTAAAGCATTGAAAGCAAAATGTAACCTGATCTCTTTATTAGAGGGGGGCGTTCGGGTGGCCCTGTGGTTAAAGCGTTCGCTCGTCACGCCAAAGATCCGGGTTCGATTCCCGACATGGGTTAAAAGTGTGAGTCTCATTTCTGGTGCCCCCTACCGTGATATTGCTGAAATATTGCTAAAGCGGCGAAAAAAAATACTCACTCGCCTCATTAGAAGCAATGATGGTTTCATGACAACGACCCCATGAACGTTCATATGAATATAAAGCCCTGTGTGTAGGTGTAGCTTTGGAGAGGCCATGGCACACTGCAAATATTGTCCTTGGTCGTGGCATGATCAGCCTAGCGTGGTTTTCAATCCTAGATTTTGTCGATTATCATCATTGTCACTATTCCTGTCATGTTTTACCATTTAATCTAACGTCTATGAGTACGCTGAGCATCAGCTTTGGTTTGCTTTCGTCATCCACTTGAAGTTGTCACGCCATGATATAACAAACGTACTGCTCAAGGGGACGTTAAACAACTAACTCTTGCCTGTGTTGATGCACTCTCCTGAAGTACCAATTGCAACATAAATGTTCCTGGTGTCAGTTTTAATGCAGACTACGGAAAAGCGCAAGTAATGACGAACCATAATATCTATTTCCTTGCAACCGGCCACATCATTTTAATCAACACCGACAATTCAAAGAGATAAAATGGCGAGAGTTACCAATCCAATGACTTATGCATTACATTTTAGTTTTAAAAACAACAACTTTTATTTAATTAGTTGTCAACGATATAACTGTCAAAATAGGGAGTTAGTTCTTAGTGGTTACGAGGATGTGATTGACTGTAAGGCAAATACGTGACATAGCTAAGACGTCATAACTCAGACGTTAGTCACTTTTTTCGGCCGAGACCTAATAAATAAAAATGACAAAACCCTTTCCATAGTCACTAGAAATAAAGGAACGTCGTCACATAATACAGATTACACGCAACCACTCTACCATATGATATAAATATGACTATTTCACTCAACTTTGCGTGTTTGTATTATAAACATATGCAATGTAACATTTGGGAAATGAATTATCATATATACCGTTCTGTTACATCAAAAAAGTTCGGCTGTAAATGTTTCACTCGAATAAAAGAAGCGCATTTTGAGTTTCATGAGGTGATGTGCCAATGTTAAGTTCAAGACGGTCATCACATTAGTCCTTTTTGTTATACATAGAGAATCACACCAGAGTGTCTTTTGATATCAAATATATCAACACGAGTTGATAAAACTGGGAAAACTCCGAGGCTTGCCGAGGATTTTTGCCACTTTTATCAACGAGTGTTAATATTTGATTTCAAAAGACACGAGGGTGAGATTTTATTTATCATCCAACATCATTCTTCTAACTTTTTCAGTTTGTAGACAGTAATAAACAGTGTATTAAGTGTAAAAATGTTATGCTAACAGCTTCAGTAGCAGAGCCATTAGTGATGTCATTTGATTGTGACGTCATGGTAACCAATGTACTATTGTAGTGATCATGTGACCTGTTACTGCTCGACGCCATTCACTTCCTGGTTGCCGACACATGTGCACCTGTGCAAGCGGGGACGTCATTTGAGAACAATTGGGTTGGTGATGTGAGGTGAGTACTGACATGGGATTGGTAATTTTTGCTGTGTGCATATACATGATAGCTCCTCGTGTGAAGTCTATATACAATTTGAAAATTATGAATTGCAAAATGTCCTTCAGAGTTTTTATTTGTGCAGTACATATAATTCAGTACATAGCGATGCAATTACATAACGGATATAACGATTGTGTTTACTGAATGACAAATACTCAATCATTTCATGTTTGTCTGATTCATAATTATCCCTTTTTGCTCAAGATACACTTTTTTGAGATAAACGTATCGTGTTCGTGATTATATGACATAATTATTACTGCTATTATACATCAGATTTGTATTTGAAATAAAACCTGTATGTATGAGTTTACAAAAGCATACTCTAGATATAAAAAACAATATTGGGTAACCAATGAATCAAATTGCAATCATCAAATGTGAAATTGCTTGTTTTGCCAAACGTAATATTTTCATTCATGTGACATTACGTATATCCATGTTTTCACTCATTATGTTTCCAATTAAAATAAAATAACCATTTGATTAATGCACTCTTCTTCTAAAAGAAACTACCGTGTTCATTAATATGTGCATTACTTACTTTAAAACGTACAAGGTAAACAACACTGTATGTAAAAGGAAGAGAACCTTACAACGATAAGGTCTTGAGTTGAGTCAACTATGATGATAGCCAGTACAGTTTCCCCCTCCACTTGCAGTGGGGACGGCCGGGCAGCCTAGCGGTTAAAGCGTTCGCTCGTCACGCCGAAGACCAGGGTTCGATTACCGAGATGGGTGCAATGTGTGAAACCCATTTCTGGTGTCCCCCGCCGTGATAATGCTGGAATATTGCTAAAAGCGGCGTAAAACCATACTCACTCACTCACTCACCCCCTCCACTTGCAGTGACCAGGCGTTAAAGCCAGGTAAAGAGTTGTAAGGGCTACACAATATACATGACGACGAACATAACGTTAGTATACAGACTGATATCTTGGTGTTGGTATTGTATAAACTCTTACAACACACATGAAGTACCCATTGCCAAAATTATTCCACTATATTTTGGGGAATCCATTCCAATGGCATCTATGACACAAATATGTGTATTTGACTTCATTGATAATGTTTTCATCTTTGACTGATCTTGTGCACTAGTATAAGCATATACAAGTACATGTGCATATGGTATATCAATGTCCATAGCCTTCCTCTAAAGCTTGTCCATCCCAACGGACGCGTACGGTTTATTTAAATTAGATAATATCAAATATTTGCATCAAAATAATTGGTAAATTTAGTGGCTCATCAAAAGCTATTAACCCTCATTTAAACCTGTGTATTATAATAATAATAATAATAATAATAATAATAATATTATAATAATAATAATAATATAATAATAATAATAATAATAATAATAATAATGAGGATGGTGATGACGACGACGACGACGATGATGATACATTGATGGATCACTGAAAATCAGTGTTGACGTCGCGTATCGGGTGTTCTGCAAAAGGGTGCCGGCAGCACCCGCCAGTGTATTTGCATAAAAAGAAAGTGTTTGTCAGCAGACGCTGCACATCAGTACTCCTACCATGCGAGGGGCGGTCTGGTAGCCTAATGGTTAAAGCGTTCGCTCATCACGCCGAAGACCAGGGTTCGATTCCCGACATGGGTTGTGTGTGAACCCTATTGCTGTTGTTCCCCGCCGTGGTATTGCTGGAATATTTCTTAAAGCGGCGTAAAACCATACTCACTCACTCACTCCTACCATGCACGGCGACCTGTAAACAAACCAGACAATCAAGCGATGGACCAGAAAATGCAGTGACACGAGTATTTACAGAATTTGTAGAAACTGAAAATGATATATTCATTTTGAATTACGTCTGCTGTGTACGGGTGTAGATATATTGCTGCTTTTAAGTGCTTTTAAATGCATGAGAGAGTTTATGATGAAACTTCAGTTTACCATCAGAAACATCGGCACAGTTCAAGGAACAATAGAACTTCAACGCACAGTGCGTTTTAATGGGAATAATGGGAATACACACGGGTTTAAATCATAAAATATTATTAGATCAAATATATCAACTGTAAAGCTGAGATAAGTCAAAGTATCGATTCAGGGAATGTAGTCTCGAACGTCAATATCCGAAAACATCTTCATCATGGAAAGTTCACACATTTATGTTTGAGGGAACATCCACATACATGGCCACTCACATACCTTGCATAACTTTAACCCTCCCATGGTAGAACAAAACAAAACATTAGTTTTCACGGACAAACTACATACTACTCACAAGAAGTTAAAGAACACCCGATTCTTTCATATGTCATGACAGATTAAAGTTCTGGTAATGTGAAAGAATCGTGTGTTATTTAATTTCTTTTGAGTAGTAGTTACTGCTCAGTAAGGATTGTTGTGGTCCCTTCATATGATAGCATAGGTATTCTATAGATGTTTCCTTTGATGACGTTTACCACCATATCTTGATATTTGACATGTCGACGTGAAAACTATGCAGACAGGGTATTGCAGAGACCAGAATAGACAAACATTTAGTCAATGAAATCATATATTACACAATACCCTTCTCGACTCTAAAAATAAAAATAAAAAATTGTCCCCATGTTGATTTCATATGTGAAAAGGAACTAGCTAGAGCTGGCTAGACTTGCTTTTATATACGTTTCTAGATTGTTTATATACACAGGTATAGCAAAGTGTTATGTGGATAATACACGATATCAGGTGAGCCTTAGATATATGAGTATCGTTGTGTTACTATCAACCCCAAAGCAAACAATGTTAGCAGATATCATGCACGGAAGTGACGGACACAATGCCTCGATTATGTGAACCTAACCTCCGCTCAATTCACTTCCTGGTAGCCTACACACGGACTCCTGTAGAGACACTGTATTGCACAATTATATGACGTTGACGTGTGAGGTGAGTACTGACATAGTACAGTTCATTTAATTGTGTGCGTGTGTGTGTATCGACGGTAGTTGCTGTACGCGAAAATATTTATTAATATTATATTAATAGCATAGTCCGTTTGTACTTGATGATGAGCACACACCGTTGTCAACTGTGCTTTCCTACACTGTCCCATTTAACCATGTACTTGCTCTAGATTCATGGACGGCTTTTGTAAACACATGATCACATTTCAACTGCACTGCACCTCGTTCAAATATCTCTACACAAGCTTTCAACGGGCAAGTAATTTCACACCTCACTTGGAATTACGGGTGTCGGGTAGCCTAGTGGTTAAAGCGTTCGCTCGTCACGCGAGCCGTGTCAAGACCCGGGTTCAATTACAGACATGGGTACAAATTTTGAAGCCCATTTCTGGTGTCCCTCGCCCTGATATTGCTGGAATATTGCTAAAAGCAGCGTAAAACCATACTCACTACTTGAAAAAGCAGATTGAACCTGCGCGGATAGGATGGAAAATTTGTGTGTTTCAAGTTTTCCTAATATGTACTCTACCAATTTTTTTTTTTTAAAAAGACCACATCTTATGATCCTCGTAATCTGTCTCATGGAACTACAATGTGGATTGTGCCCGGGCTGGTTTGGCGAGTGAATGTATGTGGCCCATATAAAAGAGAACATGAAGATGCTAAAATCTTAGGTGCATCTCAGAATGCTCGTTTGAGCAAGTAATAGGCTCAATGAAAGAGTCCTGAAACTTACATGACAGCTTGAGAAACAACACTTAAATAATAATAATAAGCCTCAGATATATCCAGGCCAACAAACCTGATCTTATCCTTTTTTATCCCTATGAAATTATTTATATTATTGATTTTTCTGTCCCATTTGACGCTAATGTGATTGACAAGATTGAGGAAAAACATGGCAAATATGCAGACCTCACTTTCGAAATGTCACGCTTGCATCCAAAGTAACAAGTTGCCCGACTCCCCATTGTTCTAGATGCCTTAGGTTTGGTACCTCCCAATCTGTTGACTGACATTGGGAGTTTGGGGTTTGCTACCAGGAATACAGCCCTTCCGACAATCTGGGTAATACAGAAGGCTGCAGTGTTGGGGAGTCTTCACATTCTCCGAAAGGTTCTGGGTTGGTTCGACAAGGCAGCGCTTCCTGGGAGAAGTCCCATTCGCTGCCTGGGCTGCGTGTAGAGGGGGCAAGGGCCCTGAGCTGATGATGAGCCTAATCAGCCTGACTGTGTCAGGATCACCCACACCCTCTTTGCTGCATTTTTTTATTTTAATCTGTAAATAATAATAATTATAATAAAAAGCGACAAACTTTCCATTTTCAAAAGAAATGTCTGTCAAAAGAAGTGTCCATTGTACGATTTCGACCATGTTATGAGCATGTGTATGAATCTAAATAGTGATGACACCGGGCGTTGGCGATAAGGTGGGTGTATCCTACATAACTGTCAGTACATTGTGGAATGCATCACAATTATGCAAAGGAACATTAAAACCTTTTCTCGTTATACATCCAGTTTAAGATAAGTCTACAGTTCCACCAAATTTCTCACATGGTCTCAGAAACATAATCATTATGCAAACAAAAATAAGACATGGTGATAATGAATTATAACACGATGTTGGGGACCCTCGCCATCTGATTGGCCGTTAACTGTTGTACAAGGCGGACCAAAAAGCATCGTTTTTCAGTCCATTTTACGCTTGAAAAACTCGACGCTTTTTCCGGACAATTTCAAATTAATCGATTTTAATGACTGGTTAATCATTTTTCCGTCCAATGTCCGTATACGGAAAAAAACGACGTTTTCGTTTTTACAATGATAGATGCTTTGTATTGTTCACTTGATTCACTTGATAGTTGCTAACACATATGCGCCAGCCATACTAGAGGCACTGTGAGGTGCTGATTTTTAGAGGTGAGTTCTTTCTGTTAATGTTGTAATGTAGTCATCTGTATAATGTGTTAATTGAGTCATACGAGAATATGTATACATCCATTAGATACAATGCAGATTATTATTTAAAATCATATTATAAGTCTTTTCCCATAATTTAATTTTTGTTCTCCATCATCAAACTAATTATAATACGCCCTGATATAAAACAGCGATAAACATATACTCACTCACTCACTCACTCACTCACTCACTCACTCACTCACTCACTCACTCACTCACTCACTAAGTGAAAGGGTTTTGTTTCACGACGCTTTGAAAATGACAGAATATTTTAATGAGTTATATCACAATATGCCAGGCGACAATAGGTTTCTGGCATGCCTAAAGGACGCAACTCTGACTCCTTTTCATGATAGGATCATTATGATGTATTAGTTCGTTTAGAATAATATTGCACAATAAAAACAGTTTGGCTTGTGCATTGTGATAAAAGGATTCGATACTCGAGAAAATTTAATGTGAAAGCTACTCAATTCTGATACAATAATCGACGTGTGCTGGTATATTTGTGATAAAAACACACTCTGGTAAGATCCGCTTTTTATGACATCAGTATTATGCAAGTTTATTGTTGTCTTTTCAGTAAGGTATCCGACATGGGTTTGGTCTGGATGGGACTGCTTGTGGCCTGTGTCACTGGTACCCTCGCTGGTAGGAACGTTATCCATAGAATGTGAAATAAGTATAAAAAATAAATATTTGACTAACCTGTAGGTTTGATTCACAAACAGTTACCTATCCAAAAACCCTGTCTACACTCTCCAAAAACTGAAACGCACAGGTAGATTTTTAGTAAATCTATTGTACCTAATAAATTCGATATATTTAATTTAATATCATAGATTCAAATATGAAATTATGGAGCTCGATAGGCACATGTTGTACAAAGGCATTGATAAATGTTCATTGTCATGTCAAATAAGGCCACAAGGTGGCGCTGGACTCAGTATCTCGTGTGACCGCCCCGGGTAGCAATCACGGCTCTGCATCTCCTCGGCGCTGACTGGATAAGTGTACGAATTCTGTCTTGCGGAATTCTGCGCCATTCTGCTTGTGACGCGTTGGCCAGGTGTGGGAATTTCCTGCGGCGTGTTACGATGTGACGTGCACGTCGATCGAGTTCATCCAAGAGGTGTTCGATTGGGTTGAGATCTGGAGATCTCGACGGCCAGGGCAAGCCGTTGATGTTGGCATTATGGAGGTAGTTTACCGTGACACGAACTGTGTGCGGTGGAGCGATGTCCTGTTGAAACAGCTCCCTCTGACGGTCAATGATTGGAAGAAGGTGAGATTGAAGAATTTGAATCGTGTAGTGATTTGCTGTCATATTTCGCTGATCCACAACAAAGTCAGATCTCGTGGTGTAAGATATGGCCCCCCACGGTATGACACTACCGCCACCGAAATTGTCGAATTCACGTACATAATGTGGGGCAAAACGCTCATTTCGACGACGATAAACACTTCGTCTTCCATCTCGCCGGTGAAGAAGAAATCATGATTCATCGCTAAACCACACTCTCCTCCAGTTTCTCAAATTATAAGGTTGAAGGGTATGTCACCAACGCAAGCGTCACTGTCGATGGATCTGTTGCAAAACAGGGACGACAACTGGTCTTCTGGGTCGGATTCCAGCCTCGCGAAGATGGTTCCTGACAGTCTGGTCCGATATCCTCCTCAAACCAGGGATGCGTCCTGCAGTCTCCGTAGCTGTGGCATTGCGATGATGTAAGTGGAACAGTCGAATGTAGCGATATTGTGCAGGGTTGGTAACTCTTGATCGGCCGGTTCTCGGACGGTCTGCAGTGGAATTGAACTGTGTGTATCGGTCCCAAAGGCGGCAAATTGTGCTGTGGTGGACGTGACAGTGGCGTGCAACAGAAGACTGCGATTCCCCTCTTTGGATAACTCGTATGGCGATGTTACGATCGGCAGCGCTGAGTCTCGTCATTTTCGAACTTGAAAAAATGTTGACAATTGAATGACAAATTATTGGCTTATGCTTGCCTTTTTTTAGCCTCTACCTAGGGTTACGAATACAATAACTTGCACGTGTATTTTGCTTTACTGTTTTCCTCCATTACATTTTTGAAGTGTGAAAACAATGCCTTTAAGTCATTTCAAATCGACAATGGCTGCGTTTTGACACACCGTTTGTCGAATATCAGGCCACCAACATTTTCCAGTAACAAATATCTATTATATATCCAGGATTTGTTGTGTAGTCAGGTCCAATGAAATACATAATACATGTCCGTTTCTTATTTTTGAAGAGTGTATATGTTCACTGTTATGTAGGTTCATGTTTGAATCAGTAATGCTCACTATCAATCATGTCGAGGTACCTTTATACAAACAGATGCTGAATATCACTGTAACACCACTCGTGCCTGCACCCTTTTCCCCTCCACTCACTGTAGCCAGGTCGACAGTCCAAACAGATGCCAGGAAGGATGGTTTGGTTAAAATTGCCAGAAACGTGAGTGTGAGGTCGATGGGTAGATGTAATATCGCGAATACCAATCACCGATCATTGTGATACTGATTATGTGTTTATATTTTTAGAAAATATCGCGTTTGGAAGAACATGCATCCAGAGCAGTACATTGTACGGTCAAGCAAATAACTACGGAGCAGGACTTGCTGTAGATGGCAGAGCCACCACAGATGCCAGGAGCACGCCACAAACATGTGCCCATACACGAAATGAGACAGATCCTACCTGGACTGTGAACCTGAAAACATCACGTCCAGAAAAGATACAACACATCAGACTCTATCTACGTGACGACCGTGAGTACACACACATATAAAGGTGTAAGGGTGATAATATATATATAACTGCAAAATGCAATTGTTGAGGAGTAGTTACTGTGAGGAAAACTAACGAACGAGGAATTCCTTTTTCACAGCAGCAGTCGATCACTTCACGACACATCGGATTGTTTAAAATACGTTTGTATCAGTTGCATTTCTCGTAGAAAACACATAAAAAAACGTTTATTCCTATCAGATTCAGATAATAAGGAGATATGCTAAATTGAATTTGGAACCGAACCCCTGGCGTGAGTTTCCAAATATAAAATTAAGCATCTTTACTTCTACAAGTAACATAGATCTTCATAGTTGTGGTATGTTCATCTATATTATACTATGTTTTAAGTTCAATGTTTTCAGTGGGTTGTCTGTCTGAATTAAGGAAACGACGATAAAAGTCATTCCACAAAGTTTGGTTTTCGAAAATTTTACTTTACTTACATTATAAACAGGCATTAAAAAGTGTTGAAGCCAACCTGAAGTGGCCACCCATAAAGAATATCAAGCATGTCTCGCAAGGTTTAGTACCGCGTCGCACGTCCTTAAAATGACATGAGACCGCTCATTATGACACAGGAATTATTCTAATTTGTTGTTTGTTTCTTGTTTAACGCCGCGCTCAGCAATATTCCACGCAATTGGGATACGATGACATTCATCAACCAAGTCAGCGAGCCTGAACACCCGATCCCGTTAGTCGCCTTTTACGACAAGCATAGTCGCTTTTTACGGCAAGCATGGGTTGCTGAAGACATATTCTTTCCCGGATCTTCACGGATCGGAAATATTCTAAAATGCCTACGTACAATAACTGAGAAAGATAATTATTAGTTTAATGAATATTAGCTTCATAGGTGATGCGGTCATCTAAAAGGCTGTTTCAATCAGATGCGGTTATTGTGATTTGATAACTTTGTTTCATCAATCAGAATCGATGAATTTCCTAATCAACCAAGTCACTGTGCCTTACCACCCGATCCGTTTGGTCGTCTTACCCGAAATCCCCATAAGCAGCCTTCTTGAAATTTTGACGTCAAGTGGCTGCTATGTTTTGCAAGTACTCACAATGACCTTTCTGGTTCGTCCTGAATTGATCGTGCTGCCTCATTACGTATCAAAAGTTGAGTTTGAAGTTGTTATCCAGATCTGGAGGTGAGTTGAAATGGGGTTTAACACTTACACTTACTGTTATTGCATTTACATAGCGATGTTCTTGACTTCATTTCTACATTCATTCTGTACAGTTCAAGAAAGAAACAACGGCATGCAGGTTCTTGTTGGCAGCCAGATGTGCTACAACTGGTCGTCAACTGAACATCCTCCTCCTATAGCTTACGTCACCTGCCGCCAGCCACTGACAGGAACCACGGTCACTATACGGATACCTGGTTCCCTGAAATTCCTTACTTTATGTGAAGTGCAGATATTTGGTATGTCGTGGCTATTTGAATTCACATATTTCGACATTGTGTCATATAAAATGAACTATATAGCTCTCCCTATCCATTCAGGTACGAACTGGTTTGTTTTTCATGAATAAGAGCGGAGAGTGCTTTTATCTCCAAACAGTAGTTCACCAAACTTGTTGCTCCTATTGGGACGTACAGTCTATACTATCACTCCGTATGAAGTTATATGAGTTGTTCCAAAGTGATTATAATCACCAGGAGGTGTTACTTTGTTACTTTCTTTACATGTATGTTGGACATAGAATATCATATATCAAAATGATAACAATAAACAGTAAATACACTTTATAGCAAAACTACCAAAATCCTCCTCGAGCATTTCAACTTATATTCTATAAAAGAGCAATTAGACAACAACATGAATGTCTTTGAATATGGTAAACAATAATCAGTTTGCAGTGATGGATGGTTTTCTGAAGATTGTGACAAACAGTGCCGGTGCCTTAGCAGTACTGAAATATGTGACAAGATCTCTGGTCACTGTTCTAGTGGATGTTTCCCTGGATATCATGGTACCGACTGCCAAACAGGTATGTGCTGAAAATGGTATAAAAATAGAAATAGCATTTCATGGGAGCCATTGGGAGATATCTCATGTACGCTCAGGTACACTGTAATTATGTACACACAAAAAGCTTGCGAGTACAGTCATTGTTTCTTAATCTTTGTTGGGGCACTGAGTGGTTTATTTTAATGCATTTTTTAAAATGAACAGTTTCGTACCATTGAATTCACCCCAAAACGTAATTTGCTGTTATATTAATTGGTAGATGGACTAATTATCCTTCATGTTCGAAACCGGTGATTCAGTGAAAATCATGCATAACAAGTTCGAATAACCTTCCTGTTGTCAGTCAGTCAGTCAAAATGTACAGCTATTTGAATTGTGTGAATGAAGAACAGGAATCTAACAATGTATAACATTGATTGTCGCCATAGCGTTGATGTCATACTATCTGATAACATTGCGACATTTACCAAATTGAAGAAATTTTCAACGTCGAGTTACCATGTTAACAGGTTTGTACAGTCGAACCTCACTTATCCGGACAGTTGTGTTTTCGAAATATTAGCCGGATAAACGTATTCCGGATACTTAAATCCCTTGTTAGTTAGATCCCCTACCCAAATTCTACGGAGGTAAACAAATATCTATTGTATGATGTATAATATTATTCGCGAATAAAACTACATCGTATCAGTTCAGCGAATTCAGGTCAACGAACAGGTGATGAAATTCGCGTCTGTGAAATAGCAATCACCTGTACTCACGTTTCCTCCCAATCTGCCGGTAATCCAGTTAGGAAATGCTAGAAAATATAACTTGTGATGCAATTTTCGGAATAAATTTTATCCCAAACTATTATTATATCAAAAATAGTTTATTCCAAGATCGCTTTTTTTATTTGCGGCGTTTAATATATCAATTTCAAAATAATGATTTCCCGCTGTCTTTTTATGTTGGCATATAATAGTCTGGCTACAATAAAAGTGGCTTTTAACTAGTCAAAGTATGGCATTTATGATATATTTTTCCCGATTCTCTACCGCCTAACGTTCTTTTCAAGGCGTCAGTAGTGTGCTGCGATCACTCACGGTTTCGATTAAATTACTTTAAAGACAGAAATGTAACTATATATGGCCATTGAGGTTAGTAACACATGCCCCAATGAATGAAGTTCTTCCTTAAGTTTATCGTGTGGGACAGTAGTGTACACAGTTGAAAATTAAATGTTTTACGTAACTGAACGTCTTTTCTGAGATTGAGAAACTTCCAGCAAATCCTTAGAGATTTTGAGAATGCACATGCTATTACTTCCGCTTGTGTTTACAGCATGTGCAGATGGATCCTTTGGTAGCAACTGTAGCTCCCAGTGTGGACACTGTCTAGATGGTGATATCTGTGACAAGACACACGGAACATGTCGTGGAGGATGTGCAGCAGGATGGATGTATGGCACATGTCTACAAGGTGGGTTTGTGTCATTTTAAGTGAAGGCTAATATTGCTTGCAGAATACGATTACACCATGTGTTCATAATATGTGTGTATGTGTTTGCAGCCTGTCCAGATGGTGCCTATGGTATCAATTGTGCCTCCCAGTGTGGAAACTGTCTTGATGGTGTAAGCTGTGACAAAACAACAGGAACCTGTTCTAGGGGCTGTGCATCAGGATGGATCAATGATGACACATGTCTACAACGTGAGTACAAATGATGGCTATTGCCGTTATATAAACACATGGAATTACCCTCAAGGTTAACTAGAATCCATAACTTACATATCTGATATTTTCCTAGCCACGTCATTCATGCCATGAACTGTTCATGGACAAACATGAAACATTACATGCTGCAGTGCCATGTGGTTGTACATTGTCACCATATGTCCTGACGGACTTCATCTTAATTAATTATCTCTGCTACGGCACTGGTAAGTTACGGGGAAACGCCTGAATGTGACAAGACAAAGAGTTCTGCTCAGAACTTACATGTGCAATTGATACGCATCAGTTTACTTAGAATCGTGTGTATTGAGTGTGTACAGAGTGTGCCGTTGGAAAGTATGGGATTAACTGTACACCACATTGCGGATTATGTAAAGACTCCACGGCCTGTGACAAATAACGTGGTGAGACGATGCAACATATGTAATGAGATGATTCGATTTACCAACCTTCCCCTTTCTTGCATTGCATAAGGAACGAATGAGATATACGTAAGATTCTTCGCAAACAACACACGTGAAGGACAATATGTCCTAGGATTAAATATGATCATAAAATGTCTGAATATTGTTTGGTGTTTAACATTGATTGCAAGACATGCACAATGCAGCTTAATTTCAATAACGGTTGTACATAAAGCTTCTTTATGATGTTTTCTAAGCTAGGTTAACATTTGTGTGTTTCTCGCACCGGTACAGGTGAGGGATGCAACTGGGGAATTCCAGTAGCAGCCACCCTTGCTGTGTTGCTGATCTTCACAGTGATTGGGGGAACCATATATATCAGACGGTAGTATAATTTGCAACAATCATACAAAGAACTATACATTTAACAGTGTAAAAGAACATTTCTATTTTTACTCATCTGTTAGGGATTCTAAGGCTCAGTACACCTACTGATCTATTTCTCATTGTGTATGAAAATGGTGTCTAATAAGGGATATTATAACTTGTTAGGCTTAGACCTGGACCCTGTCAAAGATCGCAAAAATATCCTTACATTATAGAAATATACCCTTCCCATAAGAGAATGCATACTCACCTCACAAATAGTGTTGAGGATTTTGTAAAACCGGTATCCTCTCCAAGATCAAGTAGACAGTTTGTTTACTTTTTATCCTCTCTATATGCAGATCCAAGTTATGATATGTTGATGGTGTAATATTATGGTGTCACTTTAAGGGAACAAAATTTCAACATTTCAAAACATTACAAATTAACGGGTGCACATTGTTAAAAATCCATTTTCCACACAATTATTGTTTTGACTGAGAATAACTTGTCAAAATGTTTTTCAAACTATATTTTTAAGGCACTTTCGAGGTATCAGTTTTACGGTTGTCGTCCCTGCGTAATTCCCTATGTTATCAAAACTAATGTTGGTTCATGTAGTACAGGTGTTTAGCGATACAGCTTCTTCGTCACATTGAATGATCTTAGACATTAGATTATTTAACTGTTCCCGTACTAAATAGCAAAAGTTATTTTGAACGTCAGATTGATGAACCAACTGGAGAGCTTGAAAACCAAGATGTCAGAGGGACACTATGTGAATCTTGATGAGAGGACAAAGGTTCCAGCAACAGAAAGTACCTACGAACATATCGACAATGCTGCTCCTTACTACAATACAGTTGATCATGTTCAAGATGAAATCTGATGGGTTTACCATTCATTATGGAGGAGAGGATTTTACACTACAGATATATATACTTATTACCACGGGGTACCAGGTGAAGAGGTGTCATATTTAAACTCATGTCTTATACTGTAGTTGTTTTCATTGAAACATAATTATATACATAGAAAATAATCAACTTATCCTACATTACATACACTTTTCATAAAAAGATTAATGTTTTAGATCTCGATCGATGTAACTTCGTGTAGAATCGACTTTCGCCTGATGAATTTGAAAAAAAATCTCCGAACAAGGAGAATCAATCTGGCCTTTAAAAGTTCATACATACAGTATACAAAAAGAAACTTGACGAATGCAGACTTTCTGTACTTTGTGTGGTTTAAGGTAGACACGATGTATATTGATATTGTTTCGTTTCCCTTAAAATCTCAATTCGGAGCTGGTGGGAACAGCATCTAAATTGCGCAAGGGCACGTCTATATTTGAAAATTGATAATTATTTTAAATATGTTCCTAAGCCGAAATTTGTTTTGAATAAACTGTAAAGAGTTGATTTCGAGCTTGATGAAAGAGCTGGGTGCCAATTTTGAGCATAAGATAATTTTACGGACGGAGTATAAATTCCGACAGAAAGCTGGAGATATAGAGGATTGACCACTGTGTTCGGTTGTTACCGAAACATCTACAGACTCGTGATTAATCTGCCACAATTAGAACTCGGCTGCCGAGTTCTAATTGTGGCAGATTAATCACGAGTCTGTAGATTTTTCGGTTACAATGTGAAAAAAATAAACCACTGTAAACCTTGAAATGGGAGAATAATAAATGAAAATGCATTTCTTATTTTGTCATATGCCCAGTTTATTATCCCAAGAAATGCTAAATAATTATCATTAAAATTAAGCTAGCTATGCATATTGGGGCTCTTTATTTGCTATGATAATATAACAGTTGCATTATTAAAGAAGGGTTGTTTTTTCAGTAAACATGGTAAAAAATAAATCTTTGGTTTAAAGAATTTACTTGAGACAAACATAATTCTACATGTCCTAATACTCTGTATTCTCAGTTAATTCTGAAAATAATTAACTGTGATATTGAGTTTCTACCTAAAACTAATAATATGAAATTAATTTTGAGATTATTTCATCTTATCTAAAATAAAAAATATATTTTAAGATGCATAAATGGACATCATTGTTGAAAAAAAAAATATTGTTTTTAAAAAAAATCCCTAATAAGGTTGATTGGTGCCCACCATCTGTATCTTCATCATTTTGTCTGCTCCCTATAAGAAATCAAAATAGTTAAGAAAAAATATAAATACATTATTATATTACTTTCTTGAGTTCACATAGATTTAGGTATGACTTAATACATTCAAGTTTAAACGTGGTAATGTTGTTTTTTCTTAATTGTCCTGAGATATTATGTTTAAATAATTGAAGTCTTCATGTTTAAAAAACAACAAATAATTATAGGCCAAAATACATTAAGTATATTGATCTGGAATAACTCCACCTGTTGAAAGGGAAACAAATGCTGTGGTTGCGAAACATCTTGGTCGTGAGATGTACGGTCCGTCCGGCAAAGACTGATCGTTTCCTGCATTAAAATTTAGTATTGCTTTATTTTGAGTGTTTATTTTCTTAAAATATGAAATTTAAGTCTCGGTTATTTTAATATAACTATGAAATATGTTTTTGATCGATCGGCTCTAGATCAACACTTTCTTATGTGGTTGATAGTTATTTTTTTAAACAATACCAAAAACAATATGGTTTGTTTCACTATTTCATCGGTATTTTTACATGAATTAATTAACTGTTTCATTAGCTTTGTTATTAGCCTTGAAAACGCCCAGTAAAGAATGTACCGGAGTGGCTGACCTGGTCCCGTAATATCGATGCGGTATCTCGCTTCGGTTACCGTCTACCCATTCTGCAACTGAATCTCGTACATTGGGAAGCCGAAATTCTCTGATATATCTCCACATATCATACCCCTTCTTCCCCTACAAATATTCTCTCGGTCACCACGTTTCGGAGATCGAAACATCGTCACTACGGTAATGTTTAGCCAGCTGGGGAATTCCTGTACTGGACGACCTGGGGTATCCCCGATCCGAAAATAGTGCCGTCAATTATTTTTAGCCAGCTAATCCAAACGCGATGACACAACTCTTCACTCTCAGCCAGCCAATCAGATTGGTGAAAAAAAATAAACCACTGCAAATAAACCACTGCTGGCGATTGAAGATCAAGCCCTGTTATGGGAGAAATTATTTATAAATTGTTGTTCCCATATGTAACCAAAACCAGCAGAGAATAGGATGTGTTTTACTTTTGATGCCCAGTTAGTTTTACCATTACTACAGTCTAACAATAATTAGTTACAACATTTCTTTACCAAACGTGATTGAGGCATATTAATTATTTTCCACCAATACTTAACAACATATTTAAATGCAAATATGTACATTGGGTGTCTTCCGCATTCTCCTCAACGTGGTTTGCGGATGACTGCTTTAACACATAAAAATCTCCTACAATCAAACATTTGTACAACTTCTATTTCTATGTAATTATGAACACCCCAAATTACAGAGCCATACAATAGAATTGGGCTGATTTTGGAATCAAATATTTAAAAAAATAGATAATGAGGTAATGGATTTAATAAAATGATTTAATAATTCTACACAGAACCTTTTTTGCCTGAGTTGATGCACTATTTACATGAGCAGACCACAGTAGTAATCTAAATAATAATAATCCCAAGTATTTGTAACATGAAACACATTCAAGCTGATGCTCGTTAAAATACCACTTTTTGTCTCTTGATAAATTTCCACAATTTTTAAATACAATGATTTTAGTTTCAGCTAAGTTAACAGACAAGTGGTATTTATCACAAAAACGACTTCAAACATTAATTCCTTTTTGTAGCCCATAGACAGTGTCTGCAAAAAGGACGATATTATCTGCTAGTAACAGCAAACATACCTGTATGATATCAGGATGCAGCTGCACCCCTGGCGCACATGAAGATTCTATTTGTTCAGCAAGCTCATTTTTAAAAATAGGAAATAAGAAAGGGTTCAACATGCAGCCTTGCCTGAGGCCTGAAGGACAATCAAAACTATAAGATTATATGTTTTTTGATTTAACACATCCCTTCACGCAACTATAGATAGATTCAAGTGCAGTTAACATCTTGGGTGAAACTCCCCTGTATTTTAATATAAACTACAATTTAGATCTGTTAACAAAGTCGAAAGCTTTTTTGAAGTCCACAAAAAGCGTATAAAACTTACCACGATTTTTTGAAAGGTAGTGTTGAATAATAGTTTGTAAAATGAAAATATTATCTATTGTGCTATATCCTTTTCGAAATCCCGCTTGCGACTAGCTAATTTGGTCGTACAAATTTGCCCAAAATACTTATCTTGCATTAAGAACTAATGTATAAAGTTTACTTAAAGTGCTTAAAAGGGAAATACCTCTATAATTATAAGGATCAGATTTATCATCTGACTAGTACAAAGGTATTATGATACCTGTACTCCATGATTCAGGGAAATAAGATGATTCAAAAATGACATTAAACAACAATTCCATGTATGGCAACAATATATTGGAGGAGGATTTGAAAAATTCTGAGATTAGGTTATCTTCCCCTTGAGATTTACAGTTTTTTTTAGTAAATAGGTTGCTTCTTGTATCTCTTCTTGAGTGACCGTATCATCAGCATTATAGTCAGTATCAGAATTTCCAGTCTGTTCTGGCAAATTAGCGTCACATTCTTCAAATAAGTTCTTGAAATACGAAAACCATTCTGATATATCTACATTGTCCTTTTTTGACGACTTGGTTGTATATTTCTTTAGCACAGTCCAAAACAATTTAGTTATTTATATTAGCTAGTAAAATGTCTCTGACAGATGCATATTATATAGTCTCTTTTTACTCTGTATTAGGTCATTATATTTATTGCGTTAAGTAATGTATAAATGTAGTGATTCACTGTTCTTTGATCTTCTAAAAGATTTCAGTAGCCTCAGCGTTTCTGATCGATTGAAATCACATTCTGAGTCAAACCATGGTGGATCTGATTTTACAGGATAAGTTTTCTTCTTTATCTTCATGAAGTCCGCAGCCTGGTGAATAGCATTAGTAAAAACTTTAACAGCTTGGTCGATATCGGTCAAGGTAAGAGAGCAGCAGTCATTAAGCATAGATGATATATCGGATGATAGGATATTGTCTCTTAATCTTTCAGCACAATTATTATCCCATAACAATTTGAAACCTTTAACATGGAAGTTGTACTTGATACCTTCAAACTGTAAAGTGTGTACCATACATCCGTCGTAGTTAGGCTCAGAGGTTCTCGTCGACCCCTTGTACATGTAGTTCGCAAAGATTATGGTATGCATGCGGGAAGTGATGCGGCTCTATGTTTACATGCAGCATACTTTGTACTTTTACGCTTCTTGTTTCATTACATGGACACAGGGACATTTTTCGTGTTGATAGCTCATTCAAAATAATCGTTGATGATAAATAAGATATAAGACTCGTTCCCATTTCGTATGAAGTTTTTGTCACTCTTGAAAAACGCTTTCATTGTAAAAGAAAACTTTATCTGAAAAAGGAAGATCGTTTTATATCCTATAATTACTTTGAATCGTTAGTTTAATCAAAACGATTTCTGTTTTCGTTATTGCATTAAAAAGTGGTTACAAAATTCTAGCAGAAACGTATTTTAGAAATTGTGCACGTGTGAGCAGCACATTTAAATCATCACATACATGTATGATATAGAGGATATTTCATGTGTCGAGTGAAATATCTCCTTTTCCCTGTAGCGAGATGAGAGAAAAAAGAAATTTCACCGGACATATGGAATAGCCTATTTATTATATACGTTTTGTGTAGTTGTCTACCGGAAATTTATTTTTTTTCATCACAAATGTAAAATCTTGAAACGTAAATTCTCCTTTCCTCACACGCAGGGACGTTACCACTCCTTTTAATTAAACGTTTCGAGTTTGCAACGTCTTAAGAAATATAAACGAAAGTAATAAAAGATAATAGACTAACGTAAAAAGGAAGTCAACAGTTCGTGTACGGGAAAGACACTTACGATAAAGTGAGACAATTTTCGGGGACTTAGTTCTTGTATGACATTAGGTCCGTGAAAGTGTTATGCTCACTGCAGTGAAATATCAAGTGTTACGTTCACTGCAATGAAAATATCACTTTTCTAAACTTCAGAAATCTCAGTCTGTCACACTGAAGGATATATCAAAAATAATTACGCCTGTACATAGTTTGTGAATACCACCCTTTAGGTCTGCTATTATTGTGAATTATGGTGAATTAAAAATAATATTGCTATCTTGCGTACGGCATTCTATGGACACCAAATTTTGAAATAACATGGTTATTTTCTGTCAGATCAGAAAACTAATGTTGAATCTGGTAGTAACTGACCATGTCATTTGAAACAGCCGCCTCTCCCTTTCCGATTTGCGTTGATTCGTATAGCTGCACTTCTTCGTCTAGTATCTTACATTGAGTGACAGGTCCTATGTACTTTGTATGATGTCACTCGCCGTTAATTGGCTACATGTCAAGATACGTAGATGAATACCGATCACCCGATTCATGACACGCCTCAGTATGCATTTCTATGTCTGTAATGTTTAACAATCGTGTCATCTTTGTCTGCGTTGATGTATAAAATTGTTTTTGGTTAAACTATTGTTGATAACACGTTTTTGATGTCAAAATTAATTATAAGGATTGAGCTCGGTTCATTGAAGTAAAAAAATAAAAACACTCCCATACACGGCAGTTTGACTTCGTTGTAAGAACTTTCCAATACACGACAGTTTGACTTCGTTGTAAGAACACTCTCTTACACGGCAGTTTGACTCAGTTGTAAGAACGTTAACACTCCCATACACGGCAATTTGACTCAGTTGTAAGAACACTCTCTTACACGGCAGTTTGGCCTCGTTGTAAGAACACTCCAATACACGACAGTTTGGCCTCGTTGTAAGAACACTCCAATACACGACAGTTTGACCTCGTTGTAAGAACACTCCAATACACGACAGTTTGGCCTCGTTGTAAGAACACTCCAATACACGACAGTTTGACCTCGTTGTAAGAACAGTCCAACACACGACAGTTTGACCTCGTTGTAAGAACACTCCAATACACGACAGTTTGGCCTCGTTGTAAGAACACTCCAATACACGACAGTTTGGCCTCGTTATAAGAACACTCCAACACACGACAGTTTGACCTCGTTGTAAGAACACTCCAATACACGACAGTTTGACCTCGTTGTAAGAACACTCCAATACACGACAGTTTGACCTCGTTTAAGAACGCTCCAACACACGACAGTTTGACCTCGTTGTAAGAACACTCCAATACACGACAGTTTGGCCTCGTTGTAAGAACACTCCAATACACGACAGTATGGCCTCGCTGTAAGAACACTCCAATACATGACAGTTTGACCTCGTTGTAAGAACACTCCAATACACGACAGTTTGGCCTCGTTGTAAGAACACTCCAATACACGACAGTTTGGCCTCGTTGTAAGAACACTCCAATACACGACAGTTTGGCCTCGTTGTAAGAACACTCCAATACACGACAGTTTGACCTCGTTGTAAGAACACTCCAACACACGACAGTTTGACCTCGTTGTAAGAACACTCCAATACACGACAGTTTGACTTCGTTGTAAGAACACTCCCATACACGGTAGTTTAACACAGTTTTAAGAACACTCTCATACACGGCAGTTTGACTCAGTTGTAAGAACACTCCCATACACGGCAGTTTGACTTCGTTGTAAGAACATTCCAACACACGACAGTTCGACTCAGTTGTAAGAACACTCACACACACGGCAGTTTGACTCAGTTGTAAAAAACGTTAACACTCCCATACACGGCAGTTTGACTCAGTTGTAAGAACCTCCCATACACGGTAGTTTGAAGCAGTTGTAAGAACACTCTCATACACGGCAGTTTGGCCTCGTTGTAAGAACACTCCAATACACGACAGTTTGGCCTCGTTGTAAGAACACTCCAACACACGACAGTTTGACCTCGTTGTAAGAACACTCCAATACACGACAGTTTGACCTCGTTTAAGACCAACATGTAAGCTGATGCCTCAATCATTTTCAAAAGTCAAGTATGACATTGAGACCATTCATATTCTTTGAATGAAATATATGCAAATCAAATAGATTTCGATTATCAGGAACTGCAAAATATTCGGGAACTGCAGTATACGTATGGTGTGTAAAAATAGAACTGTAGGATTGGAGACACGCATTGTGAGCTTACAATGTAGAAAATAACTGACTCATTCGCCAAAAGGAATTGATCTCATCGTTATCTAATAAGTAATCGGTGCTCACATAAAAGATTTATTCATGATTCATCATATCATTCATCATCTTCATTTGTTCCTCCGGTGTGTCTCTTAGAATGTTTTGTTTGGTATGTATATAGTGGCTACCAATATAACTTTTCTGCTTTTCGTTTTATTGTAGTTTTTATGACCAACCACAAAATAACAACTAAGGTGTATTGAGTCTTAGGACGAGATATCAGGTCGATAGTCGGTGAACAGTTAAAAGATGAGCATGGATAGGGACGTCTAGAACCGGACCGCACCACATTATTGAGCACTTTAATCGTATAATATTTTTCTAAACATATGATGAAACAATGAGAGGGTGGTGCAGCATTAGCGGTATTTATAATTGGGTATTTTGTATCCTGACCATATCAAGCTCTAATTTCAATAAAGGTACTGCTTGTTAAAACAAATTTGTTTCGGTAATCAATAACCCGCACAGAGAAGGTGGAATTAATGTGTATCCGATGGACGTTAGAGGTTGGGGGGTTATAGTAATAATTGATGCAGGTTTGGCATCTTCAGGATCTTAAAATTATTCTGTTAGATCAAGACATGTTAGTTTAATGTGGAAGGGAAGCACCAAGTGACGCAGGTCGGGTATCACATTGGCAGGTATTGTGCTGACAAAATAAGACTCAAAATCAGAATCGAACCAATGTTCACAAGTTCCTTGGACACCTTAAGGACCCACTCTGAACTCTTACATTACATGGGTAGTGCTTGGAACGGCGTTACACATTATCTGACATATGACCAATGATAATAAAAGAAAATATCGACGACATTGATGCGGACAACTGCAGACAACTATCTGCAAAGCATCAGGGTATAATCAAACTGAATAACTCATTTGCAAATTTTGCCACGAACAACAAGAAAAAGATTCTTAAAACACTTATAAAACAAGATTGGATATAACCAAAGACCCTGGAGTACCATTCAACGTGTCGACAGCTTCTGTAATGTACATGATATATACGTTCTTCCTGCCATTGTTCAGCTACCGCCTCTGTGGTCGTATGGATAGAGCGTCTGTGGAAGGTCGATGATACGATCCCCGGCGGCGTACATACACTTTGTTTTGTGTGTGCAATAATTTTGAACGCGACGTTGAAACCCCTTTTCACCTAACCTCAGAACCTTCTCATTGGGGTCAGTGTACAGTACAGTGTTTGACTGCACACAGTTAAATGTTGGGAGTGTATAAGTGTGGTCAAGTACCTGGCATCTGTGAAGACCGGGGTTTTGAATTGTATGCCTGTCGTAAGAGGCGACTCACAGGATCGATTCGTCAGACTCCCTGACTTCGTTGATGCATGTCATCGTATCCCAACTGTGTAGACCGATGTTCATGAAGCCAATCACTGGAATGTCTAGACTCGATTATTTACATACCGCCGTCATATAGCTGGAATGGAGCTGGGCGTGACGTCAAACAACAAACATACAAACAAATAAATCTTCAACGTGTCAATAAGCATTCAAATGATGTAAAACATTTGTTTATTTCATCGATTTGTCTACTGGCAGTGTAATTGCGGCGTTCAACGGCAAACAAACAAATGTCATGTACATGGATGTCTGGACGGGGTCAGCAAGAGCAGAGCAATGCATCATGGGAAACACACATCTTCAGCTCAGTAATAAGGCTTCCTCTTAAGGAAGACAAACTGCACGCCATGGGGAGCTGAAATCAATGTCGTTGACGAGTTGCCTCAGGGTGTAATGGATTAATAGCATTTCAACAAGCATTGACTATTGGCTTCCAGAAATCTGAGACAATATGTACCCTTGATGTTGAATGATAAAACTCATATCATTTAAAAATCAGTAAGAATCCGTTTGTTCATCAGATCGCATCGGGGGATTCACTCTGCAAGTTTAACATGGCTAGTGTTCAGATGATGTTTGATCTTGTCCTGATTAATACCCTCCCTACCAATTACATGGCGGTTGTGAAGGTGGACAGTGTACTTGACTGTGCCCATGAATGTATACGTGAGTCTACGTGTGAGGCCATGGCGTTCAGCACCCTTTATACGGCGTGTTATTTGTACCAGGGAAGCATTCAGGCGGATCCCTCGGCAACTTCTAATATGGACTTCTTGATATACAACTTTAAAAGAGGCCCGGAGTGCAATGGAGTTTTTGCAGGAATTCCAAAACCCCGTAAGTTAAAATAATTATTATTGATGCTCTCAGATTTTTGGGTCGGTCTGTAATCCCAGTGAAGAGATTTCCTCTTTATTTTGTCTCAAAGTACGGTAGAGGGTTTTTCTAATTAGATTCAATTATATCTGAACATATTATAATTTCTTGTATATACATAAACTAGTTGTTTCACGCTATTTGTTTTATTAACATAAAACGTCAACGCCAGTGAATAAACGGATTCCATTGGTCGTAAAAGGTACAATAGCGGTGACAATTATATGAATGTTTCACTGAATATCATTCATGACAACAGAAGAGTGGGGGGGTAGGTGAACCTTTAATTTCCTGACGACTCCAGTCTTAATTCAAAATTGTACGAAACTCAAACGTCAATTCCCTCCATCCTTTCCTGATTTAAAAAATCTCGAAAAACCTCGTTTGTCGTCAGGGTGGATTTCATAAAAAAGAGTTTCGGAATGGAACATTTTTCTGAGATCCCGAACCGAAACCGAATGTAGGATCGCGACGATTTTTGTGGTCGGTTGGTGAAAATAATACCTTAGGCTATCTAACCGGACAAGGCGTAAGTGTTGACGTTATCGACCATCAAAGTGTTATTTCTATCGTACAACAAAACGTGAATACTTCAAGCCAAAGCCCACAAAGTGTGGAAACTGTTATCCAAAAGTCATATAATAAACAGTCGTAAACAACCTAAAATATTCACGTAACTTTTAACGTCTTCTAAATTCTGTAATCCGTGGATAACCAACCGTCCCGTGATTAACTAATTATTTGGGAACTTTAGTATTTCCTTGTTCAGTCAAAGTGACAGAAACTTTAGTCGATTAAGACTAATTGAATTAATCGACTAGTTTTGTAGTCTAAGTGACTCGGGGCGGTCGGGTAGCCTAGTGGTTAAAGTGTTCGCTCGTCACGCCGAAGACCCGGGTTCGATTCCCGACATGGGTACAATGTGTGAAGCCCATTTCTGGTGTCCGCCGCCGTGATATTGCTGGAATATTGCTAAAAGCGGCGTACAACCAAACTCACTCTAAGTGACTCATTCTAGGGATAAGCTCTCGGTGTTTATTTCCCCTGTGTTTACTGAGCCGAGGTTATTCACTCATTACAGTTTTGAGTTAATTTGCTCAGGTGTTAATTGTTCGCAGTCGACTTAATCGGCAGTCGACGCACCGAGACTATATCTTGTCAAAGTGTTCTTTTAGTTACCTTCCTTTTTATAACTGTAATACAGTTGTTTGACTAAAACTTGGTTGTTGACTTGCGCTGATTGAATTAATTTGTAATCTGAGTGAGCGCAGATTGGATATATTTTTAATTGTCAACCAGTCGTGCAATTAGTAGTTATTTAATAAACCTGTGACCACGTTTTCTTTATCACTTTGGACCCGTGAAGATCCGGGGTAGAATAGGACTTCAGCAACCCCTGCTTGCCGTAAAAGGCGACTATAGTTGTCGTAAGAGGCGACTAACGGGATTGGGCGGTCAGGCTCGCTGACATGGTTGATGCATGTCATCGATCCCAATTGCGTGGATCGATGCTAATGACATTAATCACTGGATTGTCTGGTCCAGATTATTTACAGACCGCCGTCATATAGATGGAATATTGCTGAGTGCGGCGTTAAACAACAAACCAACCAACTTACAACCATGTTCCCTTGGTATTGTTATGTGTCATCATTGTTCTGCGAATAATCTTCAAGTCAGATACCATTGTAAAGAATGTAAAGGTTATCCTGCATAATCTGTTTTTTCTCTTCCAGTGTACCCGGTCTGTCCTATTGGTAATGGCTACAACTATAAACCTAAAATGAACGTTTGTTACAAATACCACACCAATAAAGTAACGCACCAAGTGGCCAAGAGCACATGTATCAGCGAAGGAGGTTCCGACCTTCTCAAGGTTGACACAAACAAGAAACAGAATTTCTTCAAAGACATCGTGCCATCAGGCTCATACGGTGAATATGTCTTTGGCTTACCTGCCATTTCAAGCACGTTTCCACTGCCACATGAAGAGGTAAACACAAATACAAACATAATTGTGAAGAACACTGAAGGGTCCTGAATACTCTTAAATAGACCCGCCCCCTGAAGATCCAGGTCAGAATAGGTCTTCAGCAAGTCATGCTTGCCGTAACACTAACAGGCGACTATGCTTGTCGTAAGAGGCAACTAACGGGATCGGGTGATCAGGCTCCTGACTTGGTTGATGTATGTCATCGTATTCCAATTGAGAAGATTGAAGCTCATGATGTCAATCACTGGCTTGTCTGGTCCAGACTCGATTATTTACAGACTGCAGTTATACAGCTGGAATATTGCTGAGGGCGGCGTTAAACAACAAACAAACGACTCTTGAGTGTTAGACGCACATAACACAAAACGTCTCTCCTTTTCATTTCATTGCATATATATCTAATGTGTTTCTTTAACTAGGCTGAATGTGGACCCATAGGAATCCTGAAAATTTATATTTTCTTTCATTGCAAATTCGAATTTTGCCTTGCAATTCAAAATCTTTTGGGTAAATAAAAGATCTTGTTTCGAAAACTAAATATATATAGTTGAAGATGCTTGTTACATGTACGTTGATAATGGTTTCATGTATATGTTTGTTTGTTTGGATATTTATTGTTTAACGCCGCACTCAGCAATATTTCAGCTATATGACGGCGGTCTGTAAATAATCGAGTCTGGACCAGACAATGCAGTGATCGAAATCGATCCACGCAATTGGGACACGATAACATGCATGACCCCAAGTCAGCGAGCCTGACCACCAGATCCCGTTAGTCGTCTCTTACGTCAAGCATAGTCACCTTTTTACGGCAAGCGGCATATAAACAAGTTTGCATTGGGCAGGTATATATTGACATAGTGGTGGTGGCTGTTGTGTTGGAGTCTCGGAGCATCCAGCCGAACCCTTGCTAGGCCAAGGGTGAGCTCTCCTGCCTTTATCGGCAGGTATATTGTAGCATATATAGCTAATTTCGGGTGGTCGTCTCACTCACCCGGCACCCTTAGATATGTTTAGGTTTGCCGACAATTTGGTTCACTCATCAAATTAAAAAGACCAACCGAATGTAGTTTCTACACTAGTTTTCAACGCAAAGCAGTTTGAAATAATTCTGTCAGTTTTCGGAGTCTCTGGCCCAAGGCGTATATAGCCATGGTCACCTGGCATGGAATAAATATACATAAAAGTAATTAATGACAAGTGTCATGATTGCACAGCACGTTCAGGTTGGTTGACAGAAAATGTACAATACAATTGTGATGAGGATTAACAGTGGAGATTGTCATCTTATAAATAATTAGGTGATTCGGGACATACATGTCCCAGCGACATGGTAATTAGCGTTTGGAATCTTTTCAATCAGACACTCATGCAAAATCAATGAAAGTGTTTCAGTTACAATATATATATATGTATTCCTGCTTAAGTTTGTAACAATATTAATGTCAGGTGTAAAACTATATTTATGAAGAATGTCGAATTTCGGAAAGTCATTTTGTATTGTTTAGAAAACGTATTTTGTTCATACATAAAATAACATCTTGCTATTTTGACATACTATTATATTTAAAGATATTCATTCATAAAAACCCATTATGACCTGAATTCTCTATGGATGACAACTTTATTGTTCTTTGTAATTTGTTGGTCTTGATGTTGTTCTGGGCGATACAGTTGAACTGATTGACGTCTCTTACTTACTCCATCTTGATATCGGATCAAGTCTTTGATAGGCATTTAGAAGTTTGAAGATATGCAACTTTTTATGGATAACAACTTCTTTATTCTCTGTAAGAACATTGTTTTGGTGGATGGGGATTTTCTTATCACTTCTACTATGTTACAGCGTACATCCAAGGAGATCGGATTGGCAACACGGGGCAATGGGTGTACTGGGAGGAGACAACGGCGGTCGTGATGACAAACACTAATTGGGCAAGCGGTCAGCCAAACGGGGCCTCAAACGGTCAAGACTGCATAGCCATAGATACTACTGGTCAGCATGACGCCAGGTGTGACTACATTAACTACTTCTTCTGTGAAAAATACATGTAACCAATCATTTAATACTCTGGTTGGGGAGGCTTGGGGTTTGAAAAAAAATGTTGCAGGAAAAAATGGGGAGAAAAAATTAATCTTCAGGTTTTAGAAAACCCCACATAATTATGAAAACGTAATAATTGTCTGTCCATATGTTGTCAAAACGTGTTATTACGCATGGGTCCCCAGGCTCGTACACATGATGGTTGTAAAAGACGAGTGTCTTCGTTCCCCAAATGGCGTGAACGTTGCTCACAATATCGACCAGCACACAGCTGGTATATTGCTCAGTGCGGTATTAAACAACAAAATCAGTTATTATGTACGATATATTTGACACTTATTGTTAATATGTCGTCATTGGACTTTAGCGGGACGCTATGTCTGTCCCACAACTGCTGTTGTGCCAGACAAAGGAGATTTATTTAACTGTTGTATTTACAATGTTGATTGGCGCAATTGCATCTGCTATCGAATATTCAACCGACAGGATATTATATTAGCAAGAGCTTATAAAAGAATGTTTAAAAATATTCAGTTACCTGGCATCGAATATCAATAATACCATTGCAAATTTACTTAATAAACAACTACACTAAATCCGATTAATAAGTTCGCAGGCTCAATTTCTTTCACGTTCATTCCGAAATGTTTTCTGTACACATGCGTTTGTGTTTTGCAGTCAACGATAACACAGAACCCATACAAGTGTAAAAATGACGTAAAAGAGATGAAATTTCGTCTCATGTCCTGATGTCATCAGGTACAAACAGCAATATTCTAAATTTTAAATAATGCCTTGTTTGTTGTTTGTTTCATCTTTTGGATACTTTGTGTAAATATACTCATTTTCGCGGGTCGCTGAATATTACTTTTATCTCAGATCAATAATGTTGACTGTGGTACTCACAGTCCGTGTGTGCATGTTCTCTATATGAAATAACACGATGACATAGAAGCTTATTGTTTCGCTGGAAAGTATGCTTCAAGTAACCGCAAACAAGCCGTTTCTATGTGTTTTGATGAAGCTGAAATGTTTACCAACATGTCAGATTTAGAAGTAGTTTCTTATGTGATCAATATGAATCTCACACACCGTCACGTATGACAGAAAACCTTTGCAATCAAGATGAAGTCAGAACATCAATATCACAACAAAGGGAAATATATCTATAATAATTGAAGTGTCCACATCCACCTACCGAGCTGGAGCGTAAACTGTTAAAACAGCCCGTATACAAATGTGTTGTTAAAGTATGTCCAATATTGTTTGTTATATATTTTGTAATATGCCTGCATTTGCTTCCTAATGATTTCTAATGAGGACTTGTGCATACAATTAGAACACAATGCAAATGAAGGTGTACATAATTTTTTAAAGATGACACAATCCTTATAGGTTGTTACAAGATGTTATGAATGTTTCTTCTCGGTGTTAATAAATAGTTCAATCAATATGCTTTGTAATTCTACTGTCTTTAGTATAGTTCAATTTCTTTTGTGCACGCCAACTATGTTATTTACTGTACTTTAAGTAGGAAAAGAACCAATAAAAGTACATTATCGAGATATAAAGAGACCGTCCAATGGGCATAACTATGGAATCCCAGAAGGGACATTGTTGCTGTGTAACGCATTGGTTAATTCTGACTTGTTAATTTGTTGCTTGTGTTTGTGATGGCGTCATCCTTCCGATGTTCGTGGGGGAGCATCCAGGTATGGCTGATTGATTATAGGTTTGTCAGTTCTATACCCGTGCTCTTTTATTCACCAAATACAAGAGATAAACGTCTAAGACGTCTTCTTCCACATCAAGATCTGCTTAGTGGAAATAAAATCAAGGTAGCCCAACTGGCTAACTTAATTGTCTATACGGTGAGCTATCATATTTTGCTATTCAGCAGTCAAATATATAAGGTCCAAACGGGAATTTCCAGCCAAAATGGTAATTAACTTGTGTTTAAATGGCTGATTTCAGGGATGTACACCTGGTACAATCACTATTTGAAAGTGATTAAACGCATGCTGGTGATACAGTGGGGATCGTACAGTATGATCAGTTGGGCTCTTTCGTGAAACGAATCGTTATTAATTTTACAGTATGGATATGAGACAAAGGTAAAGCCATGGACACATTCTTGTAACATATATAGGTAACACTCAGCACCAAACCAGGACAGAAGGTATGGTCATATGACTGTTTTCATCATTGCAAAACAAATGGGAGTATGTGGCCTGAGTATGTCAGGTCAAGCAACAGACTCCGGTATATTGCATTTTAATTTTCTAGATCAGTATCATGTTCTGTGCTTGTTAACGTGGCATTCGACATGTCAACATGGCTGTGTTGCATTTAATGTTTATTTATCCGGGAAAACAATGTTTATAACCTGAACGAATGCACAAAATTTATTCACCTTGGGCAGGCAGTCTGGCTCGGAGACCTGGACCACGAATATCAGATAATCTCCGCAGTCCTCGACTTCTCGAATCATGACGCTGTTGAATACCTTTGTCACAAATGAGGTAGCCTTATGATATGATCCTGGGCAGCTGTCGTACCACGGTGTGCGTTATCGTGACGAGATCTGACGTCCTCATGTTGTCCTGGCCCTGCAAGCACAAAATGCCATTTATCAACATGAAAATGCTCGCCCCGACCAATCACTAGGTTGCACTGATTTCCTGAACATAAACGTACTGCGTGGAAGTCAAGGCAACCGCATCTCAACCCATCTTCGGGGTGTGCTAAACACACATTTACGTCAACGTCAATCAGGGCCACATAATCTGTTACTGGTTTCTTTTTACTCCATGACACCCGAGAAGATCCGGGTAGAATAGGTCTTCAGCAACCCATGCTTGCAGTAAAAGGCGACAACGCTTGTCGTAAGAGGCGACTAAGGGGATCGGGTGGTCAGGCTCGCTGACTTGGTTGATGCATGTCATCGTATCCCAATTACGTGGATCGATGTTCATGTTTTCAATCACTGGATTATCTTGTCCAGACTAGATTAATTCAAGACCGCCGCCATAAAGCTGGAATATAGCTGAGTACGGCGTTAAACAACAAACAAACAACTTCAGAAAGAATGGGCTGCCATACCACAAGGTGTCATCCGCAGTCTTCTTGGTTACATGGTCTTGTCGCGCAGTGACCAAGGCTAATGGTGGACACACACGGCTTTACGACTGCCGTGGTTTTGATAGTGACTTCCACTGTCCATGCTCAGACCTTTCCGTTAAACGTTCGAGGGATCTTAAAAAATATCGAACACATTGATGCGGACAACTGCAGACAACTATCTACAGAGCATCAAGGTAAAATGAAAGTGATAAATAACTCATTTGCAATGGAGTTTAACATCGCGTTCAAGATTATTGCACTTATATAGCGACGTGCATGCACGTGTGTGTATGTGTGTGTGGCTGGTCGTACTAGTCCGGACTGATGCCGATTTATAGTGCTAGCCCACTGAGATACCATGTCGTAGTTTAACATGAATACCCCACAATACCCCCACAATACCCCACAGTATACTGACTCCGAGCCGCCCAGTCCTTGTTTTAGTCCCTTAATGCCGAGCGCCAGACAGGGTAACAACAAGTACCATTTTTTGACGTCTTTTGGTATGACGCGGCCGGGTATCGAACCTCGAACCTTCCGCTCTCCGGGCGGACGCTATACCACTAGACCACGGAGGCGGTCTCATCTTCACAGAGGTGAGGTGAGGTGAAATTGGGTTTAACGTCGCGTCCAAGATTATTGCACTTATAAAGCGACGTGCATGTAAATGTATGTGTTTGTGTGGCTGCTTGTACTAGTCCGGACTGATGCCGATTTATAGTGCTAGCTCACTGAGATACCATGCCGCAGTTTAACATGAATACCCAACTCAGACACAGTATACTGACTCCGAGCCGACCAGTCCTTGTTTTAGCCACTTAATGCCGAGCGCCAGACAGGGTAACAACAAGTACCATCTTTTAATGTCTTTTTGTATGACGCGGCCGGGGATAGAACCCCGGACCTTCCGCTCTCCGGGCGGACGCTCTACCACTAGACCACGGAGGCGGTCTCTTCACAGAGAGTATTGTGGAGAGGGATAAGTGTTGCAGTGACAGAAGGAAGGAATCTGTATGAGTTATTTTAATTAGCAGATGTATTTCCTATACACAGAAGATGAAATATCATCGATACGCGAGAGACGTAGTTTTATTTCATTTTCCGTCTCAAGAAAAAGTAGTACAGCCGTACCACAGAGGGGGACACCACAAATGACCTTCACGCTGTTTACACTGGTGTACGACGTCGCCGCCAGTGGCTGTAACGACGAGACCATCTCTTCCACTCTACTTTGCATTAAGTTTTAGTAACCATGTACATAAACAAAATGTCACACAGTGATCCCTAATAATGGTGGTATAAAAAATAGATGTAATATTTCAATGTATTGTTCGTCATGGACAGGATTTCGCGGAGACTATATTTACAGCTGGCATTGAGTTTGAAACCCTGATTAACCCCGATAAGGATGGTTGGTTCGACATCACAATACCCATGTTCGTCGGTTTTACCAGAATGATATCCGCCAGTGAACTCCGTCAATATTATGTCGTGCCCTAGCTTAAAGTACTTTGCAGGTACAGCACTTTTTCTTCATCTTTGAAAAAGTAAAATTATCAATTCAAGCCTTTGTTGTTAATGTGCGAAAAAGATATTGATGGATATACAAAGTGCATATCTGAAATCGAAACTAAACAAGTGTGATTTCGATTTTTTACGAAAAATATAAAAAGTAAGGTTTGTTACAGCGCCAGGAAGTCTTCGTATTGATCCTCTGATCTGAAACAATAAAACAAAGACATGGTTATCAATGTCGGTATGGATAAACTTGGATAATGAGTCAAGTTTGTTTTTACTGATTTTTCAACTGTGTGTTTGCAATCAGTTGGTGTATGTATGAGAGCTAACTGTATTACAGACATGTAACAGTCGGTGCGGCTAAGGATGAGTTTTATATGTCTGTATGTTGGTTCAAACCCGAACCTTGTGCAAGCACACTACCAACTAGACCGCAACACCCATGTCAACGTTGTCCCCCACAACTACGCCACGCATGAACACACAACCTCATCCAACAACCCTTCGGTGGCCATCAGATAAAGCCTCAACACCATCACACCAACAAAATCTTACCATCACGCTCAGTAAACCACACCATCGCAGCCAATAGACCACACCATCACGTCAACTAGGCCTCACCATCACACCCACTAGGCCACACCATCACACCCCCTAGGCCACACCATCACCCCCACAAGGCCACACGATCACACCCACTAGGCCACACCATCAAACCCACTAGGCCAAACCATCACACCCACTAGGCCTCACCATCACACCCACTAGGCCACACCATCACACCCACTATGCCACACAATCACACCAACTAGGCCACACAATCACGTCCACTAGGCCACACCATCACGTCCAATAGACCACACCATCACACCCACTACGCCACACCATCACCCCCACTAGGCCACGCCATCACACCCACTAGGCGACATCATTACCCCCACTAGGCCACACCATCACCCCCACTAGGCCACACCATCACCCCCACTAGGCCCCACCATTACCCCCACAAGGCCACACCATCACTACCACTAGGCCACACCATCACCCCCACAAGGCCACACCATCACCCCCACTAGGCCACACCATCACACCCACAAGGCCACACCATCACACCCACTAGGCCACACCATCACACCCACAAGGCCACACCATCACACCCACAAGGCCACACCATCACCCCCACTAGGTCACGCCATCACCCCCCAAGGCCACACCATCACACCCACTAGGCCACACCATCACAACCACTAGGCGACAACATCATCCCCACAAGGCCACACCATCACCCCCACTAGGTCACGCCATCACCCCCACTAGGCCACGCCATCAAAGTCACAAGGCCACACCATCACACCCACTAGGCCACACCATCACACCCACTAGGCCTCACCATCACACCCACTAGGCCAAACCATCATACCCACTAGGCCACACCATCACACCCCCTAGGCCTCACCATCACACCCACTAGGCCACACCATCACACCCACTAGGCCACACCATCACTCCCACTAGGCCACACCATCACACCCACTAGGCCTCACCATCACCCCCACTAGGCCACACCATCACACCCACTAGGCCACACCTTCACAGTCACAAGGCGACACCATCACCCCCACAAGGCGACACCATCACACCCACAAGGCCACACCAAGTGTTCGAGCCTGGCCTGTCTTTGTCACATGTCCTCATATATCATTTTAATTGGTTAAGAACAATATCAGGCCATGAACTCATTTTATGTCTTGATTGGAAAACGACCAGAACCTACTTACCG